AACTTCTACAGTTATTTGACACAACCTTTGATCAGTACACATTTTAAGGGTAGAAGGTATAGTTCCACTAAGAAGCACAAAAGAGCAAAGAAAATAATTAAAAGTCTTAGTTCTTTGCAAATGCTCTCCAATAACTGCAGAGTGTTCAGTTCTGCCTTCTAGACTGACATAAAATGAGAGCACTTTTGAAGTCATGTCACCCCATGAGTCACTTGGCATAATGATTTTGGATTTTTCTCCCTCAGAAATGTGTGCCTCTGGGACACCTTGGTTTCATCTAGTAACAGTCTTATACATGGTAAGTGCTGTGGTGAAAATTGAACCTCTGCTTCTTACTAAGGAAATAGTGCTTGTGTGTGCATTTGGGGCAAGGGGAAGACCTTGTACTGGGGAACAGATCTAAGTTTGTGTTGCACACTGATACATGCACCTGGTTCTACATGTTCTCTAGCATGATGGTAATCTGCTCTATATGGAAAAGTATGAAGAACATCATAGAATGGTTTGGGTTGAAAGAGACCTTAAAAATCATCTCTTTGCACTCCCCTTGCCATGAGCAGGGACACCTTTCACTAGACCAGGTTGCTCAAGATCAGCTATACTTTTTCTAAATCAGGAATTTATCTGAACTTCATATGGTGAATTTTATATTTTCTCAAATTTTTAAGTCAGGTATGACCCTGTATTCTAAAGTAACTTAGACTGCATGCCATGCTTTCTTGTGCATTAGATCTAGGTATTTAAGAGAGCACTAAGCTGTCAGCTGATAAGACATTACCCATATGAAGGAATATGTCTGCAGAGTTAGAAAATATTCAGGTAGCAATTTATAGAAGAAAGGCATTTTAAGATTGAGAGCTACTTACAGTTTCAAATCTATTAAATTCTGACATCCTTCTTCTTCAGCCTTCACTTGTCATGACCACGGTGCCACAGTACTTCAGTATGCACCCAAGCATCAGCTGCTCATTTCTGGAGGTAGGAAGGGATATATCTGCATCTTTGACATCAGACAGAGGCAAATCCTTTTCACCTTCCAAGCACACGAGTCAGCTGTTAAGGCCCTTGCGCTGGATCCTTCCGAGGACTATTTTGTCACGGGCTCGGCCGAAGGCAACATGAAGGTAAGGCACGGAGGAGCTGGGTTCTGGAGGAGGGTGTTTGGCTGAAGCAGTGTACTGTCTTATAGAAACAGCCAGATAAATGCAGTAACAAAACAAAAACAATCCTCAAAACCCCAAACCTACGCTTGATGTATAGCTAGCTTGCTTTACATTTATACTGCAAACTGAAATGTACTGAAATATTCAAGTAGGTTTTTTTCTCTTCTGAAGAATAGACTTCTTAAAATTGTGAGACTGATTTTAAGTAGATAATGCAAAGTGCATGGTTCTGAAATCTTACCTTTGTTTTTCTCTCACTTAAAAATGTTCTGGCTTTGCTGTAGGACATTTCTTTGTAACACAGGGGGCGCTCAGCAACTTCACCATTGTGTAAAGTTTCTGTATCTCCAAGTTCTAATTTTTTCTCCTGATGCTATAGCCCCAGACAGCTACTGAGAAGTCAGAGTAGCAGAAAACAAACACCAACATGAAAACAAATGAACAAAACAAATAAACCAACAAACAAACACACAAAAAAAAAAAAGGCAAAAAAAACCACACAGAAATACAGTCCCTGTTTTAAGGGCCGTTTTACCTGAATACTAAGGGAAGGAAATACAACATGGTAAAGAGAAGGTGAATACAGTTTCTTTCCTTTTCTGGAGGACTTCTTTACAGGAGCTTTCATGGCGTGGCCTTGCTGAGGCTCCTGCTACTTAGGGCACAATAGGCAGCTGTGCTTCCTACCCCTCTAATTAATTACTATCTGCAGCATTCATTAGCAGGAAAGCATTTCCAGGTGCTGGAAAGCTGACAGTAGTGATCTTAGATGAAAATGCAACTTTTCCATATCTGCAGCTTTCATGGGGGCAGCTGGGAGAAGGACTCTGATCAGGTAACATGGGGAAGCTTCACCCTGCCCGATACCCAGCTGGTCCACAGTACAGCGGCCTTACACTGCATCAGCAGCCTCTCAAGACTCTTGGACTTATTGCAATGAGGCAACAAAAAAATATCCTTTACCTTTCTCAATAGAGTTTAGAACAGCCAGGAATCTGAAACATTAGGGTGGAAAATACAAATCCTTGAATATTCATCTCCTTTGTCATTCTTTTGGTACAGGTGTGGAGACTGACCGGCTACAATTTAATTCATTCATTTAAAAATGAACATGCTAAGCAATCCCTTTTCAGAAATATTGGTGCTGGTGTCACCCAGATTGAGACTGTGCAAGGCAATCGTATCTTCTCCTGTGGAGCAGATGGCACACTGAAAATGAGGGTTCTTCCCAATGCTTTCAATGTACCTTCAGGCATTTTTGACATTCTGTAGCATCCTGTGAGCTAATCCTGGTTTCTATAATGTCCCTATGAGTAGCTAAAAACACAGTGATATGCGCTGTGGAAAGAACACATTGTGTTTCCTTTCAAATGAGTTACTGCAGCATTAAGTATTATGGGGAGAAAACCAACACTTTTACAACAGGTATATTTTGAATATGCCCATAAGGATCACTGGAGTGGAAATGCATGTACTGGATTGTAAAAGCAAGGAATTCAACCCAGTATTGTTGGTCTTGGGGGAGTTATTGCTCAGTAACCCACAAGCTGCATTTTGTGAGTGTTACAAAGATCCTGGCGGTTGTCAGTCACTTCACAAGCACTGTGGCTCTACAAGTCAGTAAGCATTTCTGACATGATTCTGATTATTTTTATTCTGGTTTTTCCCACTAAATGAAGCATGTATACAAATTCTCATTGTAAAATAATTTAGTTTTAATTAAGGGTACTCAGTGTATTTGATTTCTGCAGAAAGTGTAATGGATGCAAACACCGTGGAACATGTGCAATCAAGGACGTACTGTGAGAGATGTATCATTTTATGCTGAGATTTTTTTTCCCAGTTAGTATTATTGCACAGTTGATACTGTAACTTGCACATCAGTACATTTTTAAATGCAATGGGGTTTAATTTGCACAGTATTTTCCTTTCTTTCTGAGCTATGTTTTCTATTGGACACCTGCCTTTACTTTAGGAATGTATTGTAAGCACTAAATGTTTGTAGTGAAGACATCCAGCATTCTAGTCAGCTTTGAGTTTTGAAAATCATTTGTTCAGAAAATACTTCATTAAATGAAGCTGTTAAGAGAATACCAATGGAACATATAATGCCACATTTCAGATGAATGTCAGGCTTTATGTGGCCAGCTAGTAAATAGTGGATAAAACTGGTAACTGAATTATTACCAGAGTATATTGTATAAACTATGCAGAGTTCAATATTGTTTGCTTGTAATATAACTAGCTACTGTTGTCAGATGTATTTTTCTGTTGTAAACAAAAAACATGTTCTTCAAGGACTGGAATGGATGTCTGTGTATTTAAATGTTAACAAACTGTCTTATTCCTCCAATGAAATTTTGATGTCTGTGCTGTATTGTAAGATATACTAGAATAAAAAGCACCTTTCTCCAAAGGTGATTTTAAATTGCAGCTTGTGAAGTAGGAGACGTATGAAAAGAAAGAAGGGTAAATGTCACTGTTTAGTTTTCCCTTTGTAAGTTAAATAAATTACTTTTATTTCATGAAACAGCCCATTCTAGAACTCTTCCTTATATTTAAACAGATTTATCTAAATCTCCAGTACACTGACTGGATACTTACTGAGTTAGCTTTAACTTGACCTCAGACTGTACCGAAATAAAAAAGATTAGCTGTTTACATTTTATTTTCAGCTGTTCTTGAGAAGTGCAAGGTTAACAGAATTAAGTTCCACAGCTGCAAGAAGAAGAGAAAAGAGGTAGAATTTCCTGGCCTTCTTTTTCCAAGAGATTGATCCAAGTGTTTCAACAACGTTATGCAGAAGTTTACCACGCTTTGAGATAGATACATTATCTATAAAATATCACATCTGACTTGGACTGTGTTTGCCCGAGTATATTTCTGACTTTAGGGGTATTTTATCTGTATTGCAGTATTAGTACCACAATTCAATTTTTGAAAAAAATCACCACAATCAAACAAACACGAAAAAAACTACCAACCAAAACCTTCACACCCCCCCACAAAAGTCACAAGCAGCCCACAGAATTGTAGCTCTGGAGTGTGAAGTGTCACACTGGTATGAATAGACTTTTTAGTCTGTGAGTTCTGATTTATATACTCGTTCAAAGTATTAATTATGATTTTTTTGTTCCCTTCTGCATCTCTCTCCTTAGCATGCAAGGCCTTAGTGATAACAGCAAGTATCCTGAGAAGAGCCCAGCCATCCCTGTGTCACAGGAGCTTAGCTGCAGCAGAGGGATTCCTCCAGCACATTTGCTAAACAAGGTTCTGCAGGCACAGACATTCCCAAATTCATTAATCCCCTCAACAGGGCCTGGATCACACAGGTATTAAACAGCTCAGTGCAGTTCAGGATTTAAATAACACTTTGCTTCTAAGTATTTGAGTGTGCTCCATGAACTTCAGCAATATGCAGAGGCAGCTTATAAATTCAGGTAGGGGTTTTCCAAGAGCATGATTTTGAATCCAGATACATAAAACAACAGTAGAGGTTTTTGTTCCAACATTAAATTTAGAAATCTGAAATACCAGAAAAAAATTAAAATAAAAAAGTTCCTATTATTTCTCACCTTTAACTCAAAAATTTGAATGTGAATTGGCAGTCTCAGACTTATGGTTAACAACATATAAGTCACTAAGCAGTATGATGAATCTAAAAATAGCAGCAAAAAAGTATACCCTTCATTTTATAATTTCATTTGTGTGGATGAATGTGGGAACATTTTATTTTAGTAATATGCTTTATTAAATAGTTATAAGCAAGTTATACTGGTATAGTTTGCATGGTAGTGAGAGCTAAGGAAGAGTCTGCAGCAACACAAGAAACTCAAATACTGTTAAAAATGAAATTTTAATCATAAAGGTTATGTCTTTAATTTTAAAGAAACACAATTCATCTCTATTCAGTATGTAATGCTATTATTCCCATTTTCCTTTAGCTGGATTTTGCTTTTGATTATTAATATTTGATTTGACTTGTCAAATTTTAAGCTTTCTTCTCTTTTTTCCTATTTAAACAAGTATTTGCAGTCCCATTATTTTAACAGCTTTAAACCTTTGTCCAGAAAAAATGGTCACACAGAATCCTTGGAAATTAAATGAAGGTGACAAAGGTATTTGTACACAAAAGTTCCTTATTTAGATATTTATATTAGACCATCATCACTGACTAGAAAATGATTGCAGAGAAGATGATTGTAAATAAAAGTTACAAATAGTCTCTGCTGAGCACATGACCATGGAATAATCAATGTACATTAGACACAGTTATCATCTGAGTAAGGGAAAAACAGAAGTATGTCTATGCTGTGTGCCATCTGCAATAGTGAACAACAATTTGTTTTAAAGGTGAGGATGGCCTATGTAATTGAAGTGTGTTTATACAAAGGCACCTGATCTCCCTTTCATACACACTCACAAACCACCATCAGCAAACAGAAGATTATACCAAGTGAAGAGACCCCCATGTGTATATCAGAGAGCTTTAAACAGATCCTGTAGTCAAAGGTGGCATGTGAAAATATATTCATCTGCCAAAATGGACTGGGTATACCATTAAGCTTCCATTCTCCCACGTGTACAAATTCTTGTCTCGCAGACTGTACGAAAGCATAGCAAGAACAGACTGTGAAGACCGTAACTCAAACCTTGCATCAATCTGCTTCCCTTTCAGTAAATCAAAAGCAAAACTTACTGTCATGTCCTTAGTGTCAGTAACATACAGAATGCCACATGCTATGAATGCATTACCAGCCTTGGACTTAGGATAGGTGGTATTGATGTGCCGAATGACTGAGAACGTTTCTTCATCTACGTGTGCTACCATTATATTTTCATCAGTGCTTGAGGCATATATAATCCAAAGACCCTTTTCATCCACTGCTATGTTGAAATACGTCTTGGAGTTGGAGAAGAGGTAGTTCCGGCCCTGGTGTAAGGCATTCTCGATGAGCAGGGTGCCCAGCGACTCTTTATCGAGCCCAAATCTGAAATGAGATATGGCAAAGATTCAGTACAGGTGATCAGGGCTCATCACACACACACAGGGTGATGAATCACTGATAGAGGTGTTCTTGAAAATGCTTGTTCAAGGAGCATTCTGATGTCTTTCAAGATTAAGTTCTCAAAAAACCTTCCAAAAAATCAGGATAAGAATACAAAGTAACAACCAATCTGAAAGGTGCACAAGAGCATGGATTTGTTTTTGGTAGGTTTCACTTTGTTTAGTCTATGAGCTTTATTATCACCAGGATGAAAGAAGCAACTAAAAGGAATGGGTATGAAAAAGAATTGGACACCAAGTGAAGGCCCAAAATTGCAAAATGGAATCTATACAAAAGTTTGTTTTGGACTAGGTGGGAACTAAAGGGAGAAAATGTGATTGACCAAAGCAGCAGGAATTCTGGGCAGCTTCACCTAGTCTTAGAGTTCCTCTGATGAAAACCATTCAGATAATGCAGTTGTTTACTCAAGTAGACATGAAAGGAATTAAATTCCTACTTTTGCAAGAGCCAAAATTGTGACCTTACACTGACCTCAATGGGACAGTCTGAATACTTCCATCTCTAATGTATAAAATTGTTTTTATTCCTTGAGATTCCTTAATAGATCAATAATCTCAGGGCAGGAGCAGTGAGCAGCTACATCATGTTTCTCTACTGGTTTAGGAGGGTAATCAGCTCCTCCTGAGACACATCTACTGTCAGCACTTAATCACCCTATAACACTGGGCTTCAGCAAAGGCAGGGAGAGCATGGCTTTATCTTTTTAAATAATGCCTTCTGCAAAGAAGCACGTTTCAGTATCTGACTTCTCTCTCACTGTATAGCTCCATGCTTCAAAGAGAAGATGGAAAACCACTACTCAATAAAGGAATCTGCTACACTTGCAAATATTTTTTTCTGAAAAGACAGGCTTAATCACAGGAACAGTTCGGATCCAGGAACATACAATACTGGAAGAACAGTTTTTCTGTTTAAGCAGCATTGATAGCATATATTGGAAAAATCACCCTAAGAAAAGTCAGGAATACCCAGCTTAGATCTCCTCAGCTTTTGTAAAACTCACACCTGCAACAACTCCATATTCCAGCAGCATGTATGTGAAATAAAAAAAACAGTTAAAGGCTGGAGGAGATTTGAGAAATACATGTGTCAACTCTGTTAATCTTGTTAATTGCTTCACATCCATAAATAACCTCATACAAGGGCTAGAAGGACACACCTTAACAGGACTAGTCAGTCAGAAAGGCAGATTTTCTTCAGGATTCTTTTGTATAAAAAGCCAACAAGATAGAAAGCACCTCAATATTCATTAGTAATATACAGTTTCTGCAGCACACCACACCCTATCTTCTCCTGTTATATATGAAAATCCTCAAGGTAGCAAAAAAGTTTAGATTTCATTCCCAGGTTCTGTTGGGCTCCCCCAGTCAGAGACAGTCCAACCTGGAATTCCAAATGGTTCCAAAATTTTTTAACCTTCTGACATCTTAGGGTAAATGACAAGATATAGTGTAATAGTTTCATCAACCACCAGAACTCAAGCTACAAACACTTTTCTGATCACTAATATTAATGAAGTCAGTGAAAAATTACAGAGATAGTAAAGCATGTTATGAAATTAGGTAAAAAGAATGAAACAATCACAGTGTTGGGGGTCTAACCATCATGAGAAAACCTGACAAGGATCGGACAAACCTAGTTTTACCAGCTTTTAAATATGACAAGAAACTCATTTTGAATTAGTTTTTTTCAACATTTGCAAAATGAACTAACCAGATCTTCACCTATATTTTCCAGTAAAACAATACAACAACTCCCAGAAGCTTTTATGGAGCTCAGGATTTGAAAATTCCACAAATAGTTTGTGTTCCTCTGTACACAAAGGCATTTCCCAATTAATGGTATGCAAGCAAAGGTGAGGAATCTCTGCCCTATCACCATGTAGTGCTTAGGACAGTGATGGTCTTTTTCAGACTACCAGAGAAAAAGCGAAAAGTTGTTTAAAGGAGGCTGCCAAAAAGTGAGCTTGTGGTTGGCAGAATAAATATTATAGAATCCTTGCAGCTTGCTCACATTCCTTGGCATGCACATGAATATAGGAAGGCAGCACTCACACCTGCTTGGGAACAGACATCAAAGTATAGTAAATGTTCTTGGCTCAGACATCAGAGTCGTGTAAGAACTTGAAAGCACAAGCAATCTTTCACTTGCCCTTGGACTGTCTTTGGCTCTTCCCACAAGGTGAGATTTTGGGGTTGATTTGTGTTTGTCTCTGTCCTCAGTAGAAAGTTAAATAAGAGATGTAATTCTCAGTTCTAGTTCAGGGAGATATATCAGGAAAGTAGTAGAAACTTCTTCTTATGAGGAAATCAAACACTGGAGCCACTCCTCCCCAGTGGAATGTGCAATTCTCCGGGTCGCCCTGTCCTCAGCAGGTGCCTCAGTGCTCCCCTCTGTGCCAGCAGCATTCCCTGCTGCCGCCAGCCCGAGCAGAGCACAGCAAGGGCCCTGCAAAGCCAAGTTTCATGAGTAGGCCACGGTCACAAAACCACCCACCTACACCTCCCACACTGCAGCTGAACCACTTCTGACTCAGATGCAGGTAGGTGCACAGCTTATTCTTCTAAATCTAATCCTTCTGGTACCCAAATTCTTTAGTCAGTTCTCGTTTCTTGTGATTATGAACACAGCAAAGAATCCAAGTTGAAGAACACCCACAGTAATGTAAAGTTCAACAGAACCTGTTGGATCCCAGGATAGCCAAGTTGTCTTCTCTGCACATGGCATCTTGTTCATCCTGGGGGACCTATTGGTCTGTGACATGGTAACTGCAGAGGTGAACCCCTGAGACACAGAGCTGAACAATGCCTAAGGAATTGTCACAGCAGAGTAGTGGTCCTGAGCTATTCCCCCAGTTCTCCACCCACATCTGCACACACCAAGTGAAAGGCTGGTGGCCCATACTCTAGTTCCAGATTGGAAAGAATGAGTTTTTCTGTTCTGGAAAGAGCTCTGAACCATTCCTCCATTCTTCCTATTTAGGTAGGACCAAAAAGAAATACAAATGCTACAAGGAGAATTGTCTGCTTTTCTGAGTTTCAGCTCTGGCACTCCAACCCATTGCTCCTCCTTTCACAACTTCACTTGTCTTAGGCCAGCTATCTTTGACTTACTTCAGAATGACATCAGTTCCTCCCTTCTGATAGTATAGATGATTGTTTTGTACTGCATGACCACATCCATAGAAAAATCCTGTGATGTTAATGATCCTGTAGCTATCATTCAGCAAGGCATTGGAATTTTCATATTCTTTTATATAGTTTCCTAAACAAAGAGGAAAATGTTGAAAAAAAGGACAATCATTTTGTTCAGATAATTTTGAGATCTCTATACTAAAGCTCAGTCTCTACTGAAAGTCTATCTCAATCAACTAGCAAACAAACAATTGTATTTGTGTTTTCAGTAGTGATTCAACTTGCTGGAATGTGAAAAAATAATCCAGAGACACACAAAAGGAATCTATAGAAAAGATGATCAAGAACCTTCTTCCCACAGATGTAATGGGTCCTCATTCTGAACACAGTTGATGTGTATGCAAAATATTTCCTTTTCCCACTTAGGTCCTGGACATTTTCCTGCTCTAAATGTAGCTTATGCAGCAGTTGGCTCATTTTCATGCCTAGCTAAATGAAAAGGCAAAACTCTGAGCTACAATTTAGAGAAGTAAAGCTATAGGAAACAGAAACTCTTGAAAGAAAAGTATAAAAAGCCGCAAACAATAGACATTTAAATTTTGATTTAGTAAAAAACCCCAAATATCAAGCTATTTTAAAAATCTGATGCTGACTCTGAAAGTACTCTAAAGGAACTACAAATGCCTACAACCATATGTATAGTCAAGTATTTAACAGGTAATATGGAAAATATTCTGAAAAAGATGTGGGTAAAAACTGATCATTCTTACAAGTTTAGGTTGAAAGAATTAAGGAAGCAATGTCAGCATAACAACAGATTTTTGGTCAGTGAGAACCACTAAAAATACCTGAAAAATGCATGGTGAGCCAAATCCTTTCATCACTTATGTTTGCAGGTTCCCTCATCCAAGTTCCAAACGTTTGCTGTACACTGACAAAGTGAACAGGACTTCCTACAGACTTTATAACACATTCTAGTGGGAAAAAAAGCACATGTCCATGATCTGTGACACTGAGAGAGAAAGTAGCACTCAAGTCCCACTTTGCAGCAGGTTACCTGCTTTTTTTGAAGGACCTGGGTTTCTGTCTTCAGCCTTTCCAGCAAGAGTATCATCATTTGGTACATCACATATCTCATCTAGGGTAGAGGGAGAAAGAGAAAAATAACATATTTTACCCTATTTGACATGACAGATGGACTCATCAGTGGCTCCACTAAAATAAAGGAATGACAGCTGGGACTTTGCTTCATCTGGAAAAAAAAATGCCTAGGTTGGTGTGGTCAAAAATGAGATAAAAGACTTACTCTCACTTCTGCCAAGGAAATGAAGCCTTCAGGCTGACAGTCAGCTTTGAGGAGTAACTAATTAAATCAACAGATCTAGTTCCTTAGCTGTGAATTTCTGCGTAGCCACTTAGGAAGAGAGAGTTGCCCTTTTTATGAGATAACTTCAGGCAGCTGAGGTAGCTGGAAAATGGCTGATTTAGTAGTAAGACAAAAAGCATTTTCTTGGGAAGGAGTAGTTGTTAAACTCAAAACCTTCATGCACAAATCCCCACAGACCAGCAGAGAGGGTGGATTGTGTAGGCAACACAGAATGTTTTGCTCATGCTCTTAATGCCCGAGAGAGAGAATAAAGCAGTAACACATGCACTGAGTACATAATGCAAGAGCTTGACATCCATGCCACTAAAGAAGCTAAGGGAAATGACACATTATATTATTTACACACATAGAAATGGTTAGACTCACATTAGAATCAAACACCTGGAAATATTTTTTCCCACCTTACAATAATTTAAGGACTAGTTGGCTGGATTTTCTCTTAGCATTCACTGTTAAAACAATGCCTGAATTAAATTATTATGGACCCTTTTCTTTAAAGCCAGGTATCTCTTCTGCCCTTAAAGCAATGTGACACATTTCAGTTTCTTAGAATGAATAACTACAGAGAACAGTTCTCAGCTTTTTGCTGGTTTCATTGTAGTCTTGTTTTCTAATTCCATTCTTAACTTTTATCTCCAGCATTTCACACTGCTTGACACACAGGCTGCACAATTTTTATAATTCCATTTACATTGTTGCCTCCTAATATATTTCTAGGATTTACAGGTCTGTGATGAAGTTTAAGTGACAAAGATAGTTAAAAATAGGTAAAAAATATAAAGTAATGCTGAAAGGGTACCATGACATTCAGAAAAGAAAGGACAGCTAATACTGCATTAGTTTTCTCCTTTAGGTCATATCCTCCTTTTTTTCATACAGAAGAAAATTACTCCAAGATGGAGCAGGAACAACATGTATTTCTCCCATCCATTATCTAGGGCATTTGGTGAGATGACATTGAAAGTTTGCAAGTGATCACAGTGTATCTCCAAGTAAGGCACAAACAATCCACCCAGACATGGTAAACTGGATGCCTACAGCTAGAATTTACCAATCCCTCGAGATCCCCTTCCAGCTTCTGATCCCAAAATACTTCGAGAATATTTCAAAAAACTAAATCACTCTGCAGAAATTATAAATTGCAATGCACAAGCTGATTTTTCTTGGGCTGAGTCTAATAGATGCAGTTGCCTGAAGGAGCAGTGCCCTGTACAGCAGTTTATCTAAAACTATAGGATAGCCAAGGGCCAGGTCAGTGCTTGTAGCAGAGCTGAGTGCACTATTTGCCTTTGAGAATATTTGCAATACTTCCAGCTGCATGGATTAGAAAGCAACTAATATTAAAGAGACAGTTTTCAATCAGAGATTCTTATGGGAAACTACTTTCTTCCCATCAAAAACCAAGATAAATATTCTGCTGCTTCCTATCATAAAATATTCTGTTTGAGAGTTAATGGAGTTTAAAAGTCATTAAAACTATTCATTTGGTCTGTTGGGGGAAGGTGGGAAGGATGGAGCAGAGATGTTTTGTTTCTTCCAGAATTCACTAAAGTACCAGGGAGGAAAAAATATACCTGCACTACCAGGTGCAGGTATTATTCTTTTCTCTTGAAGAAATTAAGTTTTACCAGATTGAAAATTTAATTTGAAAAAGCCAGGCTTGTATTATGCAAAAAGTTAATTACAATTGTAATTCAGCATATGTATTTTCCTTCCTTGAAAGAGTAATTAATATTTAATTACAAAATCTGGATTATTCATTGAATTTTGGTAATAAGATCTCATGGTTTGCTGAGTCATAAAACCTAAAAGTACATTAAAGAAGATCTCATCTTTGCAGAGTTATTAGACTATAACTCCCATTTTCCTGCTGCAATTTAAAATCCATCAGAAATACATCAGAGAGCTTATCCTCCAAAGCATTTCAGTTTGTTTCAACACTTGAGAAGAGGCCACCTGAGCAAATGGCCCAATTATCTCGTACAACTGTTCATGCATTTCTGAATTTCAAATAGGATGATATTTCTGCTCCAGCTCTCTCCTGTCCATTGTAAGGAAGCTCCCTGGGCTCTGATCTGACACTTCAATGTCCAGAATCAGGGGTTTAGATTTACATCTAAAATTAAATATTCATTATCTAAAAGGTAACAATTTCAACTGCATTACTCTTTCTTTCCAATTTTATCCCACCTAATAGAAAACACCATTTGTAAATAATTTGCCTGAGCATTAGCAAAACACAATAAAAAAACCAACATGAAGGTAACCTGCTGCCTTACACAAACTGTATTTCAGCAAAGCACCTGAGCACATGTTCAGCTTTATGCAGATTTAGGCTTATGCAGTTTTAGTGGTGCCAGCAAAACTAAACTCATGCTTATTGTTTTGGGCCTTGAAGCAATGGTTTAATCTTGGTTCAATGGAAAAGAACACTGGAAAGCACCAACCTGTGCATTGGCTGCTGTAGGTGTTCTCCCGAAGCTCCGCCTTGCCTTTACCTTTACGTTTACGTGGAGGCCCTGGGGGTCCAGGAGGTCCAGGGGGCCCAGGGGGTCCAGGCTCACCTTTTGCACCTGTGTACAAAATGCAGTGTCAGGACACAGCCCTTCCCCAGGCAGCAGAAAAACCTGCAGAGAACTGTACGTGTCCACAGGACAGCCACAGAACAGCCTCTCTTTCTTACGAGGTTCCTGAGTACAGAATATGGTGCAATAAACTCTGAAATGCTGTTTGTTAGAGAGTGAACCTGACAGAACTACACAAGGAGTAGGACATCAATGCATTTTATATTTCTGGATTACAGGCCCATTAGAGAGTTACAATTTCAGATGCTACACTGCTGTAATTTTACACAGCTTATATTCGGCTGCCTCGTGTATTACTGAGTGGAAATCTGCCCCTCATTTTCTAATAGAAAAATAAAACTACACTGAAATAAGGAGCAGGAAGAAGTCAAATGTATGAAAGCATTCTGGAAAGGGTGAAATTTACATACACTTCAACCCAAAGGTCAAGCAGAAAGGTTTTTGTGAAGATTTTCTTTGCAAAGAAAACAATCTCCTGTGCATGGCAATACTCAGACTTCCCTGTGTATATAAACCCTGTTTGTACAGGTTGGTCCTGCCCTTGCAGATCACATTCATGCTTCAGAAGTGGAACATATCTTTTTCTGTCAAGTACACTGTTGCAAGAGAACTCCCAAGAGCACTTTTCCATACCTTCTAATATCACATCATTGTTTGCATCCCCCTTTTCTCCCTTGAATCCTCTTGCACCTTTTCCTCCTGGCATACCATCCTTGCCAGGTAAACCCATTTCTCCTGGTTCTCCTTTCTGTCCTTGATCACCTTTTGGTCCTGGCAAACCTAGAAATAAAAACCATTTCAGTGTCAAGAGCACTACTCCAATATTAAGCACCAATTAATAAATACTTTTACTACAAACCATATTCACTCTAGTTATATTTTTCACTGGTATTTAGCTGGATAGCTGTGATTTCTTTGGATTTCAAAGCAGCATTGTAACCTAATACGAAGGGAAGCTGTACCTATTTTTCCTCTTTTTCCATTTACTCCTGGTTCTCCCTTTTGTCCTGGAGTTCCTGGGATTCCATCTGATCCATTGTAGCCAGGCAGCCCAGGAGGCCCTGATCAAACCAAACAGCATGACTGAATTTTCACTGTTAAATACAAGTTACCCTCTATTTACATGCAGCATGTTTATAGATATATTTAAACCCCAGCAAAACATAACTCATAGTTTTCTGATACAGAGAATTATTCCAAGCAGACTCACAGGTTAAGCAGCACAGAAAGAAAACAAGTTACCATTCATAACATAGCCCTGCAACCAGCTCAGTGAGAACTGAGACAGAATTCAGTAAGAAAGGAGGAAAAGTTAAGGGGGAGGTGGGAGGCTGTAATCAGTAACCAATATTTTTTTAAAAGATAGTTTTGGTGTTAAATTAAAATATCCATTTCTTTGGGAGGTTAATATATAAATTCATCTCTTCACCTAGATGCTACTTTAACATTTGGTTTTGATCAAATGTTCTACTCCCTCCACCAGAAAATTAAAATGTTGAAAACATTCCCTCTCTCAGAAGGGAATCTGTTTCAATTACCCCCAAATGTTACTGCAATTGTCCAAGTGTCTTACCTGGGGGTCCTGGGGGGCCTATAACAAGAGAAAAATAACCCAAAACAAACACAAGAAAGAAGAAATGGTAAGTTTAACTTAGCAAGAAAACAAAGCAATTCCAAACTGAACTGATTAGCACTAGATCAGAACAGTAAAAGCATAAGAAAATCTCTCTAATTTCAAAATTAGTGTCTGTTTAACTGCTTTGTATCATAAATAACTACCTGAAGAGTAGCAGTAAGTCATACTTGCCAAAAGAGTAACACATTTACATATACATGTTTTGCTTTTTTCAAATTTCAATTGATAAAGGTTTGGCAACAACCTCTGCAGTGTAACCTCACTGTCAGGGGCTTTGGTGCCTTCACAAAGCCATGGATACAAGACACCTCACAGTCATATTTCCTTTATGTAAATGTTCTTCAAAAACCTCTTCTAGTGGAAGAATATTGGCTGTGCAATACTGATGAATGTCACAATTAACAATCCTCTTGGAAATACACATTAAAAATGCACTTCTCTGTGTTTTACAGATATTTCATTGCAATTCAGGACTCAGACTATAAATAGACTATAAATTCATATCAACAGCCAGACTTTTCACGTGTGATAGTTTTCTAGTCTGGATCAAGCTTCCCACAGAAACTGGTTGGTACATTTACAAGTTGGACTTGCTTCAGTCAGTCAGCAACTTGTAATACAGAAAAATCTGTCTCACTCTCTTACACAGCTTAGATGTAGGGCTCTAAAGAGAAGCAAGCATGTCAGGCAAGAGTAGAGAAAGATTAACCAGAACAATGTCTGTGATTCATCATCTGTGATCCCCAATACACATTAAAAATTTTAGAAATGGAAAAAATGGAGACTACAAAGGTGACAGCTGCAATTAAAGAACCAAATTAACTCTGTGAACATTTTTATCCAGCCAAAATACTGTCTTGTTTCAACCAAACTTTTTACAACAGAAAATAACAGTAATTACTAGATTTCCCTAAAGATGACAATTTTCAGCATTAATTATGAAGCATTATGAGTAAAGTGAAAACCATTTTACAATACCATTATAGGAACCATCCCTTTTACTCAGTACTGGCAGTAATATCAGTTAACATCTTTCTGTCAGTTTTCCAGTAAATGGCCATTTCTTCCACAGTATGTTACATCCATTAGTGCATTTAATTACTTCCTCATCCCTGAAGCTGAGGCTCCTTGTACAAGTATAAGATACATAAGAAAGGTGCTTGAAAAGCCACGAATGTCAGTGAGGTTTACAGCAGACAAAGCCACTCATGTAGTGGTGTTAAGAGAGAAAAAGGTGCAAAAGGCACCAAGAAACATGAATTTACGAGTCTGAAACACAAAAAAACCCCCAAAACTTAGATTGTCCGTGGTTCAGCCACTGTTGCAATCAGAACTGATGTACAGCTTCAGAAATATTATTTACCATCTGTGTGTACAATGGTAGTTCTCATTTATGTTTAATCAGTTGAGTCATATGGACTCTATTGCCATTTGAAAATTCAAACCAGACAGCAAGTGAAGCATTTTTTTAAACTCATAAAAACAGGCTTCTTTCTCATCTTCTCATTCCCAAAGGGAACATAATTCATTCTGTGACAGACCTCAAAGCTGGGCTGTAGCTCTTAAATTGGCTACTACCAGACACTCTTCACCAAACCCCATAAAACTTTCCACACCTTCTCATGACTCAACCACCAGCAGCTCCAGCTCCTCACTGGTGACCTGTGACTTCACCAAGTGCCACTGCTCCACTGCAGTTCTAACAATGGAAGCAAGTTTCTACCCCTGCATATTCCTCCTGTGCTAGGCCTGGAGTGTGACATATGCAAAAATATTATGACTAAACCTCAACTGGTATTTGAAACACTCAAGTCTAAAATATTTGCTTATGAAAATTACGTCAAAGAGAAATGGCTCCAAATAGCATCAATTGAGTTCCTTAAATTCCAGCATTTATATTCAGAGGGTACAGATAAGTCCCAAAGTAGTACATTTTAACCTTTTCTAAAATTCTGAGAAATAGCAGTTTTTTGACAGGATTATTGACCTCAGGTTCTTTGAAAATACTGATTCTGGGTTCCTGGAAGTAACATAGGTGTAATGCTTAAGGCAGCAAACATACCTGTTAAACATATCCCTTTTGTGCTGTTACACAAATCCACCATCACTCGGACCTAATATTGCAAAGAAATTAAAGTTGGAAACAATGTATTTCATAAAAGTATCTGGTTCACCTTGCCTACAGAAATAATTCCAAACCCAAAGATACAACTGGCCTTCTGTGCTTATTAGAATAAGCTGTTCAGAATGCTGTAACACTGTGACACTATCCATCCCTTTGGGCAGTGTTCTGTTCAAAAGACCTCAGTTTAATCCTTACTGAAAATATGAATAAAATATTGGGCAGACAACTCCATACATCACTTAGCCATTAGATTTCACACATTACTGGAACACATGTGGTTGTCCATGCATGGACTCTATCTCTAGTAGAAGGTGTCAAAATCCAGTTATCAGCCAATACAAACTACATTCAATTTTATTTTATAGTTGCATTAAGTGATGGAAACTTTTCTAATGAAGCATACACAGGGGGAAAGATGATCTGTGTTCCAAGTGAGCAATTTCTTATCTTTGAAAAAACCAAGATGTGCAAATTTGAAATGGACCTTCATCCACTCAAAATAATTCAAGCAAAAAGACAAGTCTTTTTTAAATCAAGTTGGAAGACACATTCATAAAGATGCTTTTAATCTAGAGTAGACTAAAATTTATCAATAGAGGAGACATCTTTACAAAATAACACAGTTCTTGTCTGAGCAAACATTCACTTTGCATGTCCTGCATAATGAGAGTCAACACTAAAATGTTTTGCTACTCATCAAAACAAAACCATGAACTCTGGAGGTCCCTCAACTCTCTATGGGAAAGTCTAATGTTTATAGCCAGAAAATAAAGGGTCACTATTTCAGGGCTGTGCAATGTGTGATGATTTATGAACCATTTACCCAGAGCTGCACATTTGTTGATCTTTGTGCAGTTACTCGTATTTACAATTAATAGAAATTAATGGAATGCACTAGTCCCAAAAGACAGAAGGAACAAGTGCAAGGCAATCTGAAAGACTGAAGTTTAAGCAAGGTTTATGGTGATTTGCCACTGTCAATCATTATTTTTAAAATATTATTTAAAAATCATTATTTTTAAAATAAATGAATCATTAGTTTCAACTGCCAAATCTAACAGACTCAAATAGAGGACAATTAATTTAATGGAAAGCATCGTTTTGCTGCAGAACCAAACCATATTTGACAATGAGTTCATGTTCTATCTGATACATGCTGAGAATGTACTGATTCCAGACTGTACTGGAACAGTACATTAAAATGTTAGACTCAGTTTAAATTAGCTGAGAATTGTTAACTGATTTTGAATATCAGAATATGCTTGTTTTCTTTTCCTTCACACTCCTCAGAAACACTTGGCTCCTACCCCGTAATTTGTAAAATACATATTGTCCATGTGCACTCTAACTGCATTTTAATTTAAATAGTTTTGTTGAGGTTGTTGAAGTGATTACAGCTCACTTTGGGGCCCTCCAATTATCTCAGCAGCACTACTTTTACCAGTCAATGCAACTCAGGTGACAATTAAAAAACATGGCACTCAAGAAGTGCAAATAGCCTGTGACAAAACCTCCAGCTTAGCTATGAAAGATGAACAGACCATTCACAACCAGCATCATCACTAAGAAAAGCTACAGATATAAAGATCTTATTTAAATGCTAAAATCTTCATTTTCACATGGAGAAATGGTGGGAAAAGAAAAATAAAATAAAATAAACCCCGAACTATGAAATTTTACTCAGATAATTGGTAGCCACCATCTCTTGCACTGTCTTAAATCACATTTTGAATCTTACTGGCCTGTTACCCCCCCATCAGCCTTTCTGCAGCAGCAGATTTGCCAGTTTCCTATTTTTACTCGCTTGCAAGATAAATATACATATACTTAAATAAGAGGCCCTGAATAAAAACTATGCTCATGTTATTAGAGCTGACATGATTTTTGCTGCCTGTGGTTATCTCAAAGGTTCACGAACAGTGGGCACCAGAGCTGTGTCCTGAGCAGGGGCTGTGCAGGGCAGTGGGACACTGGTACCTGCACTGGCCCTGGCAGGGAGAACCTGCTCAGGCCCACATTCAGCAGGGGCCACCAGTGTCACAGGGGTCATCCCACCAACTCTGAGGAACTGTGGCTCACACTACAAAAGTAGCCAAGTCTTCAAATTACATTGGTGGGAGTTAGATTCAAAATACAGAAATGCAGGAGTGGGAGGAGGGGGTGCTTGAATATTTTTCTAAGGACTTTTTTCCCTTAGAGCAAATGATTCTGTGCACAGTTACACACTCTCCTGAGCAGTGGCCAGAATAAAAAATATTTGATGGGAGTAAGAATAAAAAGGCATCAAACCCTCCCAAGCAGCTCCCTGCAGGATACACAGATATAAATGAAGCACATCACACACAGCAGTAGTCACAGTGGACATTTAGAGACACAAGTGCACAGTCTGGCCACATGCTGTTCAAATATACACAATGTGTTCAGTGCTATTTGGACAGGGCAATAAAATTAATGTAATTTGTAATCATGGTACCTATTGACAGCAGAGTAGCACATTTAATGGGCACTGCCAAAATTATCCAGACACTCACCTGCAACTAATGAGCCCAGTCTGAGCACCTAGCAGTAAACGGCATTGACTGTCTTCAAGCCCTAACAGGATTACAATCCTTTCCCCAGTAATTTTATTTGTGTATCTTTTGGACTCAAAAAAGCAATTCATATCAGATAGAGAAAACAAACTGCAGCTGCCAAATTCAGGGATGACTTCTTAAAATAAGTTATTTAAAAGACAGTTTTAAGTACAAAACCATGCGACTTTTTGCAGGTCTTGCCCTGCAAATTCTAAACTCAAAGCACAACAACTTAAAGAGCCTAGCTAAAAAAAAAAATTATTCTAAAACCCAAACCTCAAATTTAACACTTACTGGAAGGGCATTTTCAGTTTCAAAGAAATGCCAGACATCAGCAGATGTCCAGTGCCTCATGCTGAGATGCTGAACAGCACAAAACACACGAGAGTTCTGTTAGTAGTGTTAGTTTTAAAAACCAGAAACGTCGGAAACTGGAAGACTTCTTATTGAAACTAAATTTTGGAGTTTCACTAAACCCCCAACTCCCCTCCCTTTGTGTAAGTCTCGTTTGTAAAATTGGGTGGTTCTCTGGAAGCTCCGCGGCCCAGCATTCACAGAGCGGGCAATGGGCAGAGCATCCCCTTCGCTCCAGGTAAAGCCGCCGCGGCTGCAGCCGGGCCGAGCCCCGGCTCTCCCGACCCCCCGGCCCGAGCGCAGCCCCGCGGCGGGGCCGTACCGGCACCATGGAGTAGGTGAGCATCAGCAGCATCTCGTCGCTCTCGGCGCGCACAGCACCGCGGGCGCGCTCCCCGCGGCGGCTGCGCTTGGCGCGGGCGGCGGGCGCGGGCCCGGGCGGCAGCCCCCGCACGGAGCCGTTCCCCGCCGCCTCCAGCTCCCGCAGCGCCGCGCCGAGCTCCCGCCACTGCGCCAGCAGGAACAGCGTGCCCGCGGCGCTGAGCGCCGACAGCAGCCCCACGGCGGCCAGCAGCGCCCGCCCGCCCGCCGCCTCCATCGCCCCGCCGCGCCCGCGCCGCCGCGCCTTTATCGCCCGCGGCCGGGGCAGGGCCGGGGCAGGGGCAGGGCCGGGCAGCGGAGCCGGGGCAGGGCCGCGGGGCAGGGCAGGGCAGGGCCGGGGCAGGGCAGGGCCGGGACAGGGGTAGGGCAGGGCAGCGGGATCGGGGCAGGGCAGCAGGGCCGGGGCAGGGGCAGGGCACGGCAGCGGGGCCGGGACAGGGCACGGCAGCGGGATCGGGGCAGGGCAGCGGGGCCGGGACAGGGCCGGGGCAGGGCCGGGGCAGGGCAGGGCAGGGCAGCGGGATCGGGGCAGGGCAGGGCAGGGCAGCGGGGCCGGGACAGGGCACGGCAGCGGGACAGGACACGGCAGCGGGGCCGCCGCCGACCCCTCCCGCGCCCGGGCTGGGCACTGTCCCCGCAAAGCCGGGCACGACACGGGGGCTGCTCTCGGTCACTTCCAGAGGGGGATGCGCCTGGCACAGCATGTGACCCAAACGTGCTTTCAAACGACTGACGGTGTACACGGCTTTTTCCAGGTGTCAAGCAGTGAGACTGCACAATAAATATCCCCCCGTTAGACAGGTCCTGTCATCACACACATCCCTGACACAGCTCCTACAGTTCATACCATCACTGCGCTCTCTTACGAATACCATGTGTCAGTCACTTACAAAAATTGACCTGCTGCTTTAGATATTCAAGCACAGACCTTTCCCAAATTACTCTGCTAAACCTTCTGTGACATGGCGCATCTTTAATATAGCGAATTTTGTTATCAGTTAATTCATAGCCAAGATAAGGAAATTAATTATGGCCTACAGCAGAATCTGTCCAAACACCATGACTTCATGAAGAATGCGGAAGCTCTTGAACTCAAAACACTTTTCAAAAAAGCTATTTTTAAAGCTGACATTTCAAATCAAAGCCATACACTTTCTTACATTGATACCACTTCAAATCGACCTCAAGAGACTCCCAGCTTTTGAATGCCAAGTTTTCTACAAGAGAAGGCTTTGATCCTTTGCCACAGTGACAATTCTCTGCTGCAACTGATCACAAACATTTAGTCTCCATTCTAACTATGCTATTGACCTGTAATTCATGCTAATCCCACACAACATTGACAGTTCATTGACAGATGAACTGTTAGGTCAAACCAAATCTAAACTTAATATAGTCAGTTCTGCTACAGCTGCCTAAGCACAGTAGAGAAGCAAAGACAGGAAAACTCCATCATATTAAATTTCTCATCTCTGAAATAAAAAATTACTGCAAAAAGTGCTGGTGTCCTCAGGCCTTGTATCAGAGACTTTCCTTATGAAACTGCCACAACAGGTATAGGTTGAACAAGATGAAAGAAGAGAGATCAATCATTCCATCTCATCCCATGATGCCCGATGAGACAGAAGAAAAGCACCATACACCCAAAGGCATAAGGCTTATCAGCACAGAAACAAAGAATAGTTGGGGCTGAAAAGCACCTTTAAAAGTCACCTCACCCAAGCCTTCTGCACTGAGCAGGCACACTTTCAAACAGATCTGGTTGCTGAGAGCCTCATCCAACCTGGCCTTGAACACTTCCAGGGATGGAGCACATATCTCTCTGGACAACCCATGTCAGTGTTTCACCACACTTACTGTGAAATATTTCTTTCTTATATCTAGTCTAAACCTACTCTAAGATATTCTAAGGAATAATAACAAAACCAAACATGCAAACACTTGCTGAAAAATCATTTGAGGCTTTGGGCCTTGGCAAACTCTTCTGAAGGAATCACAAAATCTTCCCATATGTGAATAGCCTTTCTGATGTCAGTGAGGGTTACAAGAATAATTGCTTCCCCCAATATATCCACACTGAGCAGAACATTCCTTGGTGTGGAAAATGCCCTGGCCAGCTGGGGTCAGCTGTCCTGGCTGTGCTCCCTCTCAGCTCCTGGTGCACCTGCCAGGGCCTGAGACTCTGACATGTCCCTGCCTGCAGGTGAGCACTGCTCAGCACCAGCCAAGGTGTCACTGTGCTGTCACCATTATTCCCAGAACTCCAAAATGCAGCACTGCACCAGCTGCTAGGAAAACAAATAATTTTGTCCCAGCCAAAACCAGGAGACTCTGCAGTTGATGTCCCAGCTTAGCATAGAAGTGCATATTTGAATTTTGCTTATAGTATTACTCTTGTAAAGGAGAAAGAAGAGAAAGAAATAAGACCTTGCATAGAAATTCCCAGAAGACTTATCTTAAGCAGGTTTGTTTATAATTCATAGGCGTAACAAAGTGAATAAGAACCTATCACCCCAGCAAACTAAAACTTTCTGTACAAGAGCACATAGAACTGCACCCCAGAGACCATACAGCACAACAAACAGCAATTCTTCATTTTTATTATGTATTTCAAAGTGCAATGATTGAGTAAAAAAAATAATATAATAATTATGAGCTACAATTTGGAGAATAACAAAAACAATAGAGCACTCTTAGCACTCTTGCTTTCCCAACTGCCTAATTTTGCAAGGTTTTCTCTTTATTACAATCAAAAAGGAGCTGAACATTGTTCATTTTAAAAATGGGCCATTGGATCACTGCAGACACCCTATCCAAGGCTGCAGTCTGGAACCTGCAGGGATGACAGAGTGGCAGAGTTCTTCCCCAGACTCCAACACGTACCAGAGGTTTATGGCAGTGTGTGCAGACCTTTACCTGGCTTGCTAGGACACACAGTTACACCTCTGGTGAGAATTTGCCCAATTTTTGAAAGCCAGGAATGAGTTGACAGCACAATTTTGTGGCAAAGAGTTTCCCAAGACTGCACTGAAAGTCCCTTTAGCTACTGCAGTGGCAGGAGCAGCTGACTGGGCTGTGGGAATTCCTGTCCCTGCTTCTTACTGAGTGTTCCCCCATCCCATATGAACAGCAGCTCATTCAAATGTCTCCATGGTACCCTCTGCTACTGCCTGATAATCCTGGGTCTCCCTCTGGGTCTCTTGGCCCTGTGTAACACAGCTGAGACTTTGGTTCATCCATGCAGCACTTGTTACCAGCTGCAATGCACTTCATGGTCACTGCCTCTGTTCACAATGATAAAAACCAATGGTCCCAATGGGGATCAGCAAAGCAGAATGGAGGCTTGGGAATGCTGGTGGTAAATTCTAGAAACCTTACCACTATTTTCTTACCAAAATATCCAGAAAATGTTTGCTCAGTAGCAATTTAAATCCATGTGAGAAAAGTGTTATCCCCTAGATCCATCATTTTCTCAGTTAGGTAGAACGCCAACAAGCAGCACTTCAATTATTTCCTGGCATTTCAGAGGCTGTGTCTCTAAAGCACATCCTAACACGACTGTGCATCATAACTGACAGGGCATACAAAGGTCACATAAATCTGTCCAAGTAGTACTGGAAGCAGAAAGAAGCTGTCAATATGGAACTGCAGAGGCAACACCAAGTTTTTTCTTTTTAGAATTCTAGCTTTGCAGAGCTGAAATAAATTTCCACAAAATAAAACATAGCTTTCCCACAAGAGATATTTTTGTATCCAAATTACTCACTATGTATATAACAAAAAATATTCCTTGATTATGCTCAAGCTGACAATGTATTCAGATGGTGTCACACTTAACTAATGCTCCCACTGATGTTTAATTTGTAGAAGCTGTTATTACTAAAATCTCATCTATTTTAGCAGCTGTCCCAGTGATAAGCACATTGGAGATGGAACATTGTTTTCACTTGAGTAGATAATGCTGGAAGAAGAACCAAGTTGCTGAGGACTGCTCTTATGAGACAGTTAACCAAACTGCCTCTGATCATGCCATGAAAAGATTAGACAGATTATAGTCTTTATGAATGCTATCAGAAAAGAGGTAATGTCTTTTCCTGAACTAGTTAAAGTGGGGAAAAAGGTCTTTTAAAACTTTCATAACCTGCCATGATAAGTGACAGATTTTATTGGATCTCCCTTCTTCTCAAGAAATATACCAGAGGTTTGATATACTCATTTTACCATTCCAAAGTTACTACACATTCCAAACCTACAAAGTAGAAGGGGGAAGATCATTATTTGGACTGTCAAAGTGATGAACAGCTAAGGCTTTTCAGTAAATTTCTTGTCCTTCCCATTGCCCCAGCTGGCAGTGGGAAGTGCTGCAGCCATGTGTTCAGCACGGATGTGCTCAGGAAGATTTGGGAATGCGCCCCAGTGAGATTTGGGAATGCCCTTCCTCCTCACCCCTGCTCTGGTGCTCAAACCTTGTGATGCACCAGCAGCGAGCAGAGCTGCTCCATCCAAATCACAGCTGCACTTCAATGTCAGCACTGAAACCACCATTGTGTCTACAGCAAAGAATTAGCTTCAAAATGTTAAAAGGCTTCTGACTACATGCAAAAAGAGGCTTGATTTTGAAATTCATATTAGGTCCTGGCATATTCATGTTCAGAAAAACTGGAACACGTAGGTTTGAAATGTCTTTGCGGCAGTCGTAGGTCAGCCACAATAGCAGATTTAGTGATTCAGACCACACTAAGTTTTGTGATCAAGCTCACCCCACAGAATTAATTCAGGCTTTTATCAGGCACACGCACCAGAATGCCTCCTACTCCATTTCTGCACATACATTCCACACAGATTATGGCATATTGGATACAGGCTTGCTTTTCAAGGAAAAAAAATACTGGAACAAGATAAAAATATAAAGAAAATACTATAATTCTCATGATTTTGTATCAGAGGAGGTGTGGAAAAGATGGCATAGTACCCCTACCCCTTAAATCTTGTATTGTGCTTTTCAGTGGCACAAATATAAAAAGCTTCTTGAGGAATCAGCCACAAATACCCTAAAATTACTTCTGATTTCAGGAAATTCCTACTTAGTACAGAGCTGCAAGAATAAGCAAATCTATGCAGAGGAAAGAATATGCCAGCTGTTACTTTGGAATATCTGGCCTTATTATAAATAATAAATTAGGACTCAGTGAAA